AGATTACGAGCATGAAGATGGTAATTTCCAATTACAGATGTAAAGTTCTAGTTAATTTTAGACGTTGTSYCCCTCTCTTTYATCGCATAAAATTAGATTTTGCTCCTCCACTAMTGGATTCTCAAATCYCCCTCCTGATAATATTAATTGCGCAGTCCCTAACATGAATGTGTTTTTTGTTTTTTCACCCATRTTTCCAGAAATGAAAAAAGACAAGCTAAGCGAACAAGACGATGRCSTGCTTGAGGACGATGATAATGTTAACATTAAGTACCACAAGGACTCCGATCAACAAAACTTTGTCTATGAAGATGATAAGGGTAATTGCAAGAGAAATTGACGGATCGATTTCAAACCATGGGGGACTGTGCAACTGAAATCTTCTCGTCCGATATAATCGTGAGATAAGACTTGTACAGAAAGAAAGCCTATTTTTGAGAAATGCAAAATCCCAAACTTTGGAATCTGATTGGCTCCAAAACTCTCATGCGCCATCAGTATGCATCCGCTATTCGCTTGTTAGGTGCTTCTATTCGCTTGTTAGGGACCGCTATACGCTTGTCGTACGACCCAAGTTTTCCATTGAAAGAAGCATTTGGTCAAAAAGCACAGAATCTGACACTCTTTCAGCGCATAAAATTAGATTTTGCTCCTCCCCAACTGGATTCTCAAAACCCCCTCCTGATAAATCACAGTCCCTAACATGAATGTGTTTTTGTTTTTTTTACCCATATTTCCAGAAATGAAAAAAGGCAAGCTAAGAGAAAAAGACGATGGCCTGCTTGAGGACGATGATTATGTTAGCATCAAGTAACTAAAGTTTCTTTCTCCGCTGTGCTGTTTTTTAAGTTGTGGCCTTTTCTTGTATTTTACAGGAATTCCAAATGAAAAAAGACAAGCTAAGCGAAAAAGACGATGGCCTGCTTGAGGACGATGATAATGTTAGCATCAAGTAACTAAAATTTCTTTCTCCGCTGTGCTGTTTGTTAAGTTGTGGTCTTTTCTTGTATTTTACAGGAATTCCAAATGGAATAAACYTTAACATKTAGAGAAGAAAGGAAAGAACATGGAATAAATAAATCAAGAAATATAGAACCGAAGAATTCTAGATTTCCACAGTTTAGTTACATCAGTACTCTATAAACGTATTCTGCACTACTATACTCGGAATGTATACAACACATACACATAATGCATTGCGGGGAATATATTGCGTTATGCACTGGAAAAAATCGCGCACTTTAAAGGTTGTAAATTTGATGTAAACATGATGGGATGTAAATGTTCAAAATTCAGTAAATTTGATGTAAATGATTTCCATTAAATTTACATCGTATCAAAGAATCTGGTAGAAACTTTGATTTCTATGGTCTTCCATAACCCTAGCCTGTGTACATCCGTTTCTCACCCCTACACAGGCTAAATTTACAGAATTTACATCATATTTACATCAAATTTACAACCTTTAAAGCGCACGATTTTTTCCAGTGTATGGGTCGGCACGACACCACATTACAATGCCTTTAATAACCGATAACATTAATACGAAAATTAATACAAAATTAAGGTAAATATTGTATTCTAGTAATTGGAAAAACTCAAAATTATTTATCATGAATAAAGAGCTGAGATACCGGTGCCAGGGAGGCCAGAAAAAACCTTCTTGAGGAAATCTGGTGGGGGCCAAGGCACAATCTCCCTTGNCATTTAGTGCATCAAAGACCTTGTGAGCGGGAGCCGAGCATCACGCTAAGTGCAACGAGAAACCAAAAATGACCGAAATAGAACGTTATAATATGAATCGACATCTTTTCATTTAGATTGATAATAAAGTTATAAAAGGTCTTTTCTTACTTAGATACTATTTTTGTGATTTTTTTTAACACTTTTAAACTCCCGCTCATTTAGTGCATCAAAGAACTTAATTGAGCGGGAGCCGACAAGTGCGACAAGAAACCAAAAATGTCCGAAATAGAACGTTATAATATGAATCGACATCTTTTCTTTTAGATTGATAATATATACTATTTTGGTGATTTTTCTTGTACATTTTAAAACTCCCTCTCATATAGAGCATCGAAGACCTTAATTGAGCGGGAGCCAAGCGTCACGCTAAGTGTGACAAGAAACCAAAATAAAACGTTATAATATGAATCGACATCTTTTTTTAGATTGCTAATAAAATAATTGGGACTTTTCTTCGTTGCACAGAAGATCTGATGAATGCAGCTTTTTGCGCTGAATTAAACTAGCTTCGCACGCAGATGTTTTATCAGGTTGGCGGCGACCGAAATTGTCATCTAGATAAATAAACGTCACATGTCCCATTGAGCGCCATCGTTTCACTAGGGGCCGCATCAATTTAGTGAAGCAAAAGCATGCACTACCTAGCATAAATGCCAGAACACAAAATGTGATATCACCATTTTATATAACTTTCACGGTAAATAATCCGGCTTAGTTTCCAATTCACTAGGTTTTCTTTGTTATTCATAGGSTTGWATAYAMCWYAGAAACTTAAAGCCGGGGAGGGATTTGATATTCAGCAGGGAAATGTGGGGTTGATGAATTGAATTGAATAGCTCGTTATAAATTCAGCRGGCTATATATGAGTGACCGGAATCACTCATATAGCCCGCTGAATTTATAACGAGTTATTCAATTCAATTCATCAACCCCACATTTCCCTGCTGAACATCAAATAAACTAACTAAACTAAACTATTTTTCCCCTAAAAAAGACCAGTGCGGCCAGCAAAAACTTGAGGA